AAATATTTTATCCAGCAATTTGTTGATGTTTTTAATGAGAGAATTTCTTTAAATACCTAGTCTGTATGCCTGGGAATTTCCATTCCCTCTTTAGCCCATTGAAGTTTAATTTCCTCCCACTACCGCACCGCAAGCTGCTGTAGCAAAATAGATTATTATCTATTAATTTCCAAATCCAGTCAACTCTTTCCAGTCCTCATCCTACTTGGCCTCTCTCAGCAGCATTTGGCACTGCTGTCCACAGCTTTTCCTTCCTTCCTTTCCTCCCCTGGCTTCTAACAGCATATGCTTATGTTATTTCTGCCATGACTGTTTCTTCTCCATTTCTCTAGCTGACTCTACTTTTTATGCCTCCCTCTAAAATATTGGTGTTCCTCAGAGCTCTCTCCTAGGAATTGTATTCTCATTCTGCATACTGTACCTGGATGATCTTGTGCATTCCCATAGTTCCCATTATCACTTGTATGCTGCTGACTTCCTATTCTATATATCAAATGGTATTTGGAAGTATAGGCTAGGTTAAATGACATAAGAAACTATCCCAAAATCTCAGCAGCTTAACATGGAAAAATTTGGGTTTTGCTCATATAGAGTCCACTGCAGGGCCAGGTGACTCCAGAAAAATTAAACTGTCCTCCATATGATGACTCAGTGATCCAGCTATAGAGCTTTCAATCTCACCTTCCCTTCACAAAATCTCCACAATTGCCCTGAGTGGGGAAGAGGCAGAGGAAGTCTTGCATCAGCAATTAAATGCTTTGACTGAAAGGGACATGCATCACTTCATTCACAGTCCGTGGGCCAGAACTTGTCACATGGCATTGCCCAACCACAAGGGAGGCTGGACACCAGAAGGAGAGGAAGGCTGGTTATTGGTGAGAACTAGCACTGTCTATTATAGAATCTATTATAGATCTCTTCCAAGAGCCCCAGATCTGTGCACGAAACTACCCTCTCAACATCTAGAGCCTGAATGTTCCACAAACACCCCAAACCCAATGTGTACAAAATTAAATTCATTACTTATCTCCTATCCTATACCCCCTTTTTTAATATCCTTGATATTAGTTAATGGAGACAATGCAGAAAACTGGTAGTTACCTGGACCCCTTTTCTTTCCCTTTCCTTACTCTCACACCTAATAAATGACTAGATTCATCACCTATTTGCTCTACTTCTTCTTCTCCATGGCCATTGTCTCTGTCCAGATCATCCTATTTTCTCACCTGGCACTCTGCAATACCAAAGGACTCTTCACCCACTGTCTGGCACCTCACCAGACACCCGCACCCACACACTCTATTGCCTAAACCCAAACGTGATCGTGTTACTCCTCTTCAGCAGTCTTTCCATTGCCTGTAAGACAAAGTTTGTTTAGGACCCACTGTTATCTGGTCTCACCCTTCCTCTCCAGCTTGTCTTCCATTCCCCACCCTCACTTCCTCCTCATTCCCCACAGCGCCACATATGGTACAATACTTGCATTTCCCTAAACGTGACCAGCATGACAAAGCATGGCTTTGCTCACACTGTCACTCTGCCTGTAATACGTTTCCTCCCTCTGCCCAGAAAATGTGATTCATCTTTCAAGACACAACTCAAACATCATAAGGCTTTTCTTGACACGTACCCTCCTTCCTTATTGTGTAGCTTAACCTCTTTCTCTTTTGGGTGCCCCTACCCAACCCTGTAGGGATGTCTCACATAGCATCTACAACATTTCGTTATGCTTATTTATGTGCCTGGACAGCCTGGAACATGGTTGTGTAGATGAATGAAGATATCCATCTCTCTACAAAACTGCAAAATCCCTCAAGCCAAGGACCATGTCTCACTCATCGTTGTTTCTCCAGCGCTTAGCAGCGTGTTTGAGCCATATTAGGTGCTCAATAAATGTCTGATTAATTAATCAATCCTCCCTCTAAGTCTTGAACTACTGCGGTTTCATTTCCTGGCTCCTCTTTCTCCTTCTTGTCCTTTGGTGAGATCTTTGATCATGGTCTGACTTTTTATCCTCCTTTGTTTTTGCTCCTAAATATCTCTCAAATCCATTGACATGTTTTCATCTCTCTGCTGTTACCATCCTAGTTCAAGTTACAATTATTCCTCAACTGGATCACTGTAGTAATCTTTTTTTCTTTTTTTCTTCTTTAAAATTATTAAAATGCTAATCTTCTTTGTATCATTCCAATTTTAGTATATGTGCTTCCCAAGCAAGCACATGGATCACTGCAGTAATCTCTCAACTGGTCTATTTATATCTATTCTGGCTGTCTTCCAATCTGTTCTCTCTGCCTCCGTTTTAGTGATTGTTCCGGATGAAGATCTGATCATGTTGCCCTTGTTTAAATACGTTTAGTATAGATACACCCACTTCTCTTACAATAAAGACAAAAGTTCTGAGAGACGGGCACCTTCCTGCCTCTTTAACCTCGTCCTCAAAATGTTCTACCCTCTCCCTACACCCCTGTGTCACCTCACATGGAAGTGAGATGAGGTGACCTCCACCACTTCCTTGCTATTGTCACACTAACCTTTTTTTCCCTTCTGGTGGAAGACTTTTAGACATTCTGTTCCTCTGAACTTTCCCTCCCTCTTGATCTAATGGAACTCCAGCTCACACTTCAGCCTAAGTGTCTTCTTCCAGGAAGGCTTCCCTGGTGCCCTTCCCCTGGGTCATAGGCATTCATGGCACTGGGTTGCACTCCTTCACGGCACAAGTAGTAGCCACAACTTACCACTTCTTTGCTTGGTAACAGCCTCCTTTACTAGTCTGAAGGCTCCATGAAGACAGGAAAAGGAAATTTTTGCTCATCGTAATATCCTCAAAGCTTTGAATAATACATGACACATAGTAAATGTTCAATAAATGTTTTTGGAGTGAATGAACAAAAAAAAAAAATGAATTCTTTCAGCCACTGAGGATCAAAAACTTGAAGTTAATCATCGACTCTCTCTGCTGTTTTATTCCCCATATCCAGGTCCCAAGTCATATATTCTCCAATCGTATCACACCCGTGGCTTCCTTCCCATTCCTGCCTCCCACACACTCACTAAATGATACCCAGAATATCATGATACCCCTAGCTTATTTCCTTGTCTTTTTCTTTACCCAAAATTTATCTTATATGGTACTGTATAGTCTCTCCTTAAAGGCCATGTTTGTGGTGTTATGTTCCCATCAAAAATATTTAGTGGGACGCAGCTGCACTCTACCCAGGGCAACAGAGCAGAGGACTCTGTCCAAAAAAAAAAAAAAAAAAAAAAATAGAAAATCAGTGGTTTCTTCTTTTCTTAATACTTTAAATATATATTTTGCTTGGATTTAAAGCCCTCTGCCATCTGGCTGTAATCCATCTATGTAACTATTTTCCACCTCCTACCCTCTCCAAATGCCCCACTCTTGAATGATGTGACTAGTCCCAGAAATGCATCTCTTGAATCCCAGCACACCAATCCTGGGCCTGGACACCCGTTTCTCACAGTCCCTTTTCTCCTTCCATCCAAAGCCTACCATGCCACAGCTCGAAGTTCACCTGCGCGAGCGCTCCGCCTGATTCCTCCAGCCCCAGCAGCTCTCCCCTCTTCCATAGTCGTGTGCGCTGCTCTTCCCTTGGCTGTCTGCCTGGCTGGTGCCTTCTCGTCCTCAGGCTTTCAAGTAAGTTGTCCTCTCCTTGGGGAGAGCTTCTCCAGTCATCCACCTGACCTAATGACATTCTCCCATTATGTACTCTCTACCTAGCACTCTTTGCTTCCTTCATGGCCTTAATACAAGTGCTATTGATTATCATTCACTGGCTTTTCATTTCTCTTTCGAATTACATGATAGGCTTCATAAGGCAAGGAACTTTTCTGCCTTGCCTCTCGTGAAAAACCCACATATCTAGCCCACGGTTGGTCCATAGCATTTATTTTAATAATATATTTTATAATATTTGTTTAAATAGTTATGTATAAATAAATGATTCACCTTCCCTTTGAAGGGATCCCAACACTCTTAATACACTTGAAGTCTGTGTGGCAGTACTTGATCTTAACTTGTTTGCTGCTTTTAATTTTATCATTCTCATCTCCCTAGTTAGAATAGCTGAGATTATCAGATTCTTGATGACAGTGATAATGTCACATGGCTGTGACTTCCACAACATCTGGCAGGGTGTTAAAGTAAATACTCAGTAAATTTTTTTTTTTTGAGACAGAGTCTCACTTTGTTGCCCAGGCTAGAGTGAGTGCCATGGCATCAGCCTAGCTCACAGCAACCTCAGACTCCTGGGCTCAAGCAACCCTGCTGGCTCAGCCTCCCGTGAGCTAGCGACTACAGGCATGCGCCACCATGGCTGGCTAATTTTTCATATATTAGTTGGCCAATTAATTTATTCTATTTCTAGTAGAGACGTGTCCCAGCCCGCGGGACCTTCTGTTACTCGCGGGGGCGAGGGGACTGTGCCTGAAAGAGATGGGCGAGAGAAAGGAGCGAGACCAAGCAAAGGGTTGTCAAGGTCTACTTTACTTGGATTTTTAGTAGGTTTTATATACAGAAAACAAGGAAGTAGAAACAGAAAAATAGGGTGGGGGGATGATGAGGCTTGGGTGTGGGCTAATCAGCCCCAATCAGCATCCCAATGGCACCTAAATCTGTTTGTGATGGATCACTCAACCCCAACCTGGCAGGGGGTTGGGAACAATTGCAGGTAGCATGCCCTGGAGCAAGCACGTCATGGAATGCATTCTTCTCGGAACTATAGCTGAGGGGCTGGGTGCTATTTTCTCTTAGGCTATATTTTCCGTGCGTAGGACAAGTCAGGACAAGTCATTGGAATGTGGAGGGTCTTAGTCTCCAACAAGACGGGGTCTCGCTCTTGCTCAGGCTGGTTTCAAACTCCTGACCTCGAGCAATCGCCGCCCACCTCGGCCTCCCAGAGTGCTAGGATTACAGGCGTAAGCCACCACGCCCGGCCTCAGTAAATATTTAATTAGAAATAAATTTGTCTTATCCCCTTATGTTCTGGTGCTCATGTGTCAAGAGATACAAAAGGAGTTCTCTCTGCTTATAGGATTAAAAAAAAATTGTCATGCTGACCTCAAAGAGGAAGTCTTGTGCTTGGACAAGAACCTTGCGACACACAGTTTGATAGAGGCAGAAACTTTTATTTCATCATTTCTGAAAAAGAAGAGTAGTAACGGAAGCAAGTGAAATGTTTGGTCTTGGACAATTGCGCCTTGTTGCCAGAATTTTTCTTCAAAGGTAAATGAATTTACCATATGCTTTTACTCTAAATGAAATAATCATACACCAAAAGAAAATGTCATCTAAGTGTTTGTTAGAGGTTTCTATCATCTTTTGTCTTTTTATTTGGTGGGGGAAGTGCTGTGTTTAAATGGTTCTCTTTAGTTGATGGATTTTATGGCAATCAGGATTCTCCAGTGCCAGATGAAATGTGAAAATGTATATATAGCACTGTTTCTATTTTAATTTATGCTTCTGTCAAACATTTGGATTGTTATTCTCAAAGGGAAATGTGTTTCCTGCTTTTTTTGGCCTGGACTTTTGAGTAGCTATTTCCCTGTGGCATTGTGTGAAGATTTTGTCTTTTAGGGTGGAGCGGCCTAACTTTTTAAAGGTGGCTTATGGTAACATTTTTGTAAATTCAGAACTACTGACATGAAAGTCAGGATTTTACAGAAACCTACAATCATATCCTCTTCCACCTCTCCAATGGTAAGGTCTAGTGTAAGTTCATATTCAGTGTAGTACCAATGCATATTCCAATATTTTAAAAATATCATTAAAATATCAATATTTTATGGTATTCTGCAAAGAGCACCGTTGACTTACAAATTAGAAAAGGAGCCACTTGGTGTCTGGAGAAACCCACCTCAGTGTCAGGAGAGACCTACAAATATAAAAATAAAAAAAAAGAAAAAAACAAAAGGAGCAAAATGGGCTAGAAAAATTATTACCACGGCTGACTCTGCTGAAGACTGTGGGCTTCTAGTCTCATGGCTCAGACTTCTCACCGAATTTTCCTGCTAGCACCTTTCTTCTGATCCTGCATTGCATCATCTAAAAATGTTTGGTCACTCGTAAGGTACTTAACAGTGCTGCCGTTGCTGCCATTGTAACCTGTACGTGGCAACGAGGTATTTTTCTCATATATAAAGAACGGTCTTATGTAAAGAACTGTCTCAACTAGCTCTTTTTAAAAAATGCATGGAAGTATGACTAAAAGGAAAGACACTAAAATATTAACAATGAATAGTAGGAGTTTGGGTGATTTTGCTTTTCTCCCCTTAGATGCTTTATACTCTTTGGTTTAAAAAATTAATAAAAGAGGGAAAATACAGAAGGCTTAACATAACAAGTAGAGCCATAGCCTAGGCAAGGATGCTGGCATACTTGAAAAGACAATATGTGAACAGAAGTATCGGATGAAGCCTAGAGGAGGAAGCTGCGAGAGCAAGTTTGTCAACGTTTACACTGCACTGCCAGGGAAGAATAAGTTTGTTGCATCAGACCCTGGATGGCAGTCTATATCAAAATCATCCATTCATCTTCCCTCATATCTCATTCAGTTCAGTGCCCAACAAGCAAAATTATGGTTTTAAATGGCATTCTTACATGTTCTGGAAGGTAGAATGCACTGGTGACGCCAACATGTTCCTTACGTTGTTTCAGTTTATACATCGGTCTCCTGTGAGTTGGTTGGTAGGAATCCGTTCTGAATCAGTCAATTCTTGGTGCCCTGATAAAATCAAATCTGTGTACCTGCAAACCTGAGGGCTGGCTGCTGAGCTGCAGTAACTACACCAGGTAAAGTCTGTGACCCTTGATGGTACTAGAACACCCACGACTTACGTCTCTCTCATTATTACTGTTCTTATACGACAGACACAGTCTCAGTGTTGGCCCCTCAGCTGCCTCTCCTTTCCGAGCTTTCTCAATGGTACCTTTTTTATTCTCAGGGGAAGACAGCATGGGACAAACGGATTCTACACCTAAACCCAACACTGGTGAGTTCAGGACAGGGACAATTACCTGCCTTACTGCTGAGTTAAAAGAACTAGAAATTGTCCTTAAGGGCTGTCATGGGACAGCACTGGCTAGTGCATTTCTGAAGTTGGAAGAGTCAGATTGTACTATGATGCAGAATTTAATACCAGGAGAAGTGAAAGGGGGAAGCGGAGAGAACTACCTGGCCCTCCGTATCTGGGTAAAGGGTCTCTGTGCTCGATATTAGACTAGCTGGGTAGTTTACTGGAATCTAGTTCACTTTTCTCACTGCTCTTTTATTTGTGGTGTAGGCATTGGGAAAACCGCTGTGGCTAGGCAATGTTAATAGCTGCCCTGCAAAGAAATGAGCAAACCAAAAAAAGCACCAGTTTCAAGGTCAAATTTCCAGGGACTTTGGGAAATACTTGTTCTGTTTCTCCCTAGCCTGGACATCTCTGCTTGGATCACAGGAAGCGTCTCTCTCCAGGGGTTCCTACTGAAATTTTTGAGGAGGGGGACACATGAGATGTGTTCATTTATCAAAGGGCCTGGAAGCTCATACTTCTTTTGTGTAGCTGATTGTTTTTAAAAGTTCCAGTTCTAATTTTCATTTTTACGGACTCAGGATCTAAGAAAAAAATGTTCTCCCCTTTTGTAGAGCTGTAGCCCCATCATTAGTCTCCACTGGTTGCTTGGGTAGGGTGGGGCGCCTGGGGATACTTCACCTGGAAGGATGTCATACACTAACTCATTTCATGTTCTCTCCTAGGCAGACGAGCCACCTCCACCACAGCAGCCCCAACGACCACCTCTGCACCATGTCTCTCTAACAACCTTGCCGAGTAAATAAGCATTCTCCCATCCATTTCATTTTCTACCACGTGGTATTTGATTTTGTGTTGACAACTTTGCCTTAGGGGTTTGGGCAGGGGAGTCTGGGGAGAAGGGATCAGACGAGGGAAGAACTAAAACAGTTTTTGGTCTTAGAGTATGATTCTTAAGTAGGTGTTGCCCAAGCTCTCAGGGATCTACGAATCCCCTAAGCTTATAGATAAAATTTGCTGGGTGGGGGCCTATGAACATTGTGTGTGGTAGGGGGGATAGGGAGAGAGGCCACAGCTTTCATTGATTCCTCCAATGGATCTGAAACTCAAAAGCAAAAGGTTGAAAATCAGCAGATGAAAGTCCACTAACCATCTCGAAAGCCATTACAGGTGTTCATCCACAGGTGGGGAAGGTTATGCTCTGGCCTTTAGGAAAGGCCTTCAAAAAGCCTACTAGTTCATCTTTGCCCTTTCTTTGCTGAAACAGCAAGGAATATTTAATCTTGGCCTTTTGTTCTGGGGTTCTACTGACACTGCTGCTGCTGGCACTTGCCTTCCTTGTCATAAAGAGCTACAAAAAATGTAAGTGGTCTCCAAGGGATGGGACAGCCCTTACTTCTCTGCCTTAGGGAGGAGAGTGAGCTGTGAGTGAATAATGTGAGGGGGTGGGGTGGGGTGTCCTGCTTAGCCTACCCTCTCTGCAGAATGGGGACTTGAATCCCTTCATTTCCCTTCCTCTCTGTCCTCCCCACCACCCTCCAGCACTTTCTGCCTGCCCCACCATTTCACCTAAGATTGAAGGGAGAGGTTCCCCTTTTCTCCAGGTGTCCTGGTGAGACTTGTCTCTCTTTTTTCCTGGCACTTGTGGCAGGTTGCTCCAGTCCCCAGGCCCTGGAGCCTCACTCAGGTCCTCCGGCCAAGGTAAGATGACCATGCTGTTTCCAGGACACCAGAGGGCTACTGCCATTGGGCTACAGCCTCTCTAGGCTAATGGTACTGCTTTCTGGACACTGAGCAAATGACTCTTTGAAGAGTTCTTCTGATCTCTTTGGGTCTTCTCTGACCAAAGCTTTCAGTTTGCTTCTAAAGACACACCTTTAGCGCCAAATGGAACTTACTCGTTCCTCCTTTTTCTCTCTGCAGCTTTCATCCATCCCAGAGGAATCACTTACCTATGCCAGAATGACTTTCAAAACCTCAGAAGAAAAGGGCAATCACTTGACTAAGAACTGTTCTGCAGACTCGGACCTCACAGTCTATACTCAAATTAAAGCAGCACACTCACTCTGCCTTTCCGATGAGGCTTGAATCCAGTTCTCCGCATCTCAGTGCTATCTTCATACACGTTTTTCTTTAACAAATTTTAGACCACAGCCTGTGTGAAACTGCAGTCAGAGCTGTTTAGGTGTGATCTGGCAATGCTATCCAGCAGTATTGAAGACCAGTGTTCAGTCTTTTGCCTGGCCAGAGAAAAGCTTGCTGGCCCTTCCGCTGGAACTGACAGACTGTTAGCCCCGTGAGGGCTGAGACTGCTTCCCTCACGCCCTTCCAAAATGTGTGACTCAGAGCACAGAGTATTCACCCAGCGTCGGGGATCAACTTGGGAGGAGTCAACCAAATGAACCATCTATCAAGAATTTCAAATAAAGGCAAACCCTCCACGATGCTGGCTCCCTCTTCATCATTTATTTGCCTATTCCCACCACCTTCTCCAGAGGTCAAGACCAAAAGTCCAGACCTCATCCACAGGTTATAAAAGCTAACAGAGGTGATGGCGCTCTGAAACACGCTCTGGTTCCATTGTGGTGCACGGCTCACACTCCGCCATTAACCAGCTGCATTCATTCGGGCAAGTTTGTTAACCTTTTTAAGGCTCAAGTCCTTCATGTTGAAAACAGAGACAGTAATGCCTACCACTAATACTGGTACTTAATGTGAGGATTAAATGATATATCATACACACAGCACTTTATATAGCGCAGAGTTCTAAATACAAGGTCCACATTGTATAAAGCACTATTCCAATGTGGATTTCTACCTCCTTGCTATAGCGTAAGAGATATCCATAACAAGATTATATAAGAACCAAAGGGAAAAATCCAAACATTAATTCCCCCCCAATCCCAATGAATAATCACATAAACAATCCCATCAAAAATACTAAGAAGATTAGTTTTCACTAGGCAAACTTACTTTAAATTTCCTTTGTAAACAATAAACAAGAAAGCTAACCCAGGAAAATTTACAAAAATAAATAAGTTATAAATAAAAGTACTATGAGAAGGCTAGCCCTAACAGCTAACTAAAAGTATCTGTTTTATTAAGCATGTCAAATTAAAGCAATATGGTAATGGTGCATGAATAAACAAATTAATGGAAAAGAAAAGTAAGAACATAAGTAGACCAAAATACCTAGGGAAATTCACAGTATGATGAAGATGGTATGTCAACTCATTTGGGGGAAACTGGTTTATTCAATAAATGGTGTTAAGATAGATAACCATGTAGATGAAAATAAAATAGGATCCATATCTCATTTTTTATGTTGAAACAAATTCCAGACATGTCAAAAATTTAACTATAAAAAACATAAAAATACCAGAAGAAAGCATGGGAGAATTTTAAAAATTATTCCAGAGTGGAACATGCTTTTGAATGTATGACACAAAGCCCAGAAACCAGAAAAGATTATCTCAACTTATAAAAACCATTAAAAAGTCAAAAGACAAATGAAAAGCTTGGAAAACGGGGAGAGATGAAGAAATTCAGATGTTTGTCTAAGGAGATGGATTTGCAAACG